ATAAAAGAACAGAGTTTAAATCATTATTACAATATTATTGTCTGTCGTTCCTGCTGCGACCAGACATTACGTATTTATGTTAAGAGCTGCTTTGTGAGAGAGCAGTCGCTGTAAAACAGGGTTTTACTATTATTTAAAACAACTACAAAATAATTAGCATTCCCTTGTTAAACTTCCTTTGTTATTTTATATTTGTAAGTAGTGCAGGTTGTGGTGTTAGCATGCCAGGTCAGAATCTGCAAGGTGAAAGTTCTACCTAGTGGACCACTATGACAGACATTTGAAAGCTCAAAATAACAAAGCACAGCAAGTTAGATGCAACACATTCAGCCTTCCTGTTATGTACTGCATGTACGGCTTCTTTCACCCTCTTGCAGTTTACTGAGTGAACAGTAAACATGTTCTAGAAATACAATTTCCTTTCAAATAGCTTTTGCCTAATGTTTAACAACATACTGATGCTGCAAGTGGCTTCCTCTGAGTCTTCTCAGTAACTGTATCAACACCGAAGAGTGTTGCTACCAGCAAAACCAGGTATGGTGTGTTATCTGAATTAAATTTAGAAGTTTTCCCGCCAACTGGCCGCTAGTAAGGGCTGAAAGTCATTCAGTTTCTCCAATATGTGCTCATTTATCATCAGCATATCTGACCTTTCTGTAGATGGAGCTCCGCCATCAGTCATTTGGACTTAATTGATTTCGGTTGTTGGCTTTTTCTTTTCCTCTCTCACCCCGTCTTTTAACGTACACAAGCACGCGGATGCGCATGTCCATCAAGGGAGCAATTATAGTTCATATCTGCGTTCACCCCCGTCACACCTGCAGCCACAAAGAGACGGCGACCAACTGTTCTTTTTGCTCAGCAGCCTTTTCCCCTCAAAAGAAAACACGTGCACACATCTAATCCACACACTCACTCACACACGCACACATATACTCAAACGGTACTTTCTTTGAACAATTGCACAGAGGCATAAACAGTTGGAAGCTAAGTATGATGATGTTTTGTTGTGCCTGCTGTCTTGGCTACAGTGGGACTGGAGTTTCACCTGCGCTCACAATTGTTCTCTCACTTCGCTGTTTACTTTAGGGTGAGAGGATGTGGAGAGAAAGACATGTTGAACAGGCAAAATGAAAATATAGGTTTGATTGTACTCTGTTTATTGATCTGTAACAGGTAGAATTTGTGGCATTACAGGAACACAAGAGAAATCTGGATGTTACTATATTGTCCAAATTTCCCAAAGAATGATCAGCTTCTCTATGTATTCTTAGAAAAATGAGAGTCTCAGTAAATGCAGGTCTGTACGTTGGGCTTGCCCACTGAATGCAGCAGTGTTTGTAACACACACACATAAATGCACTTTGTTTGTTTCATTGGAAATGTGTGTGTATATGTGTTTTATTTTTTGTTTCAGTCGCTGAAGTATTCATTCCAGACTAAAGACCGTCTCTGTTTTGTCATGGAGTACGTGAATGGAGGGGAGGTAGGTCTCATACAAACACATTCGTGGTTAGCCGACTTTATGTTGCTGCTTTAAACAGCCAGTTGAACCACAACTACACCACAGCAACTGTCAGCAATTAGCGCTCCGCTCGCTCTACAGTCAACTGACTCCACACTATGATGAAGCCAGGGATAGCTCTCAAGTGTCTTATAAAAATGTTTTTTTTTTAAGGAGAGGAATAAAGCAGTTGAAGTTAGTTTTAGTACACTCAGGATGATGCATATATTTGAGAAACCACGCTTCAAATGACAATAAAAATGACTGAGCTAAATCTAAATTCTTTAATTTCCTCATTGCTGGAGTTTTTTTTTTTAACATTTTCAATAACAAATGTGTATAAATCAGCCATGTTACAACCACTGACCGCCTTTTATTGTAGTGAAAATGAAGAAAACAATAATAAATCCTGAGATTGATGTCAGGTACAGATTAAAGGGCAAAATGGCCCTAAATTTTGGTGTATTTGTTCAGATTTTATGTGATACTTACACTAACATAAAGTACTTTATTAACAAAGTTTGGAAGTTTGTGTAGCAAAGTGGAAAAATTGTGTATTGTTCACATTTCTTTGGACAAAAACATCTGAAAAGTGTGGCATGCATTTATTGTCTTTCCCCTGTCATCAAGTATCCTATCATTTATTTTCATTTTTTGTATGTAACAAGGACAAATACACTCAACATTGTTCTTTAAAAGAAGTAGATGCTACAGCAATTAGCTATTGCTACCCCCCAAAAAACTCAGTAATTCAGCATACAAGAGTGGGCCAAAATTTCTCCTCCAATCTCCACAAATGCTGAATGGCACTTCTTGCATCCAAAGATGGCAAGGCAAGTTATTAGACCAGTTGTTGTAATAAAATCATAATTGGAAAACTGTTTTTTATATTTACTCAGATAATCTGAGTAAACTAAAAATGTCCTTTATGACTGGACACATTTTAAGTGTTACACAAAAAGCAAAAACAGAAGAAATCTTGGAGTAATACTCCTTTAAGGCACTGCACATACAGCTGGCCACTGGAGAATCGCTGAACTTTTTTCGTCAGGAACAATATAAATCTGCAGCAGTGCAGCAAAAGAAAGTACGAACTCTCTAGAAGGGGCTGAAGTTTCTTTGTTGGATTCTTCCTCGCAGTTCTTTGCCAACCAACTGGCCTCTGTCTTGCCTTCTCATCTTTCTTTTCTCTCCCATTCCTCTGCTCCTCGTGCCTATTTACAAACACACCTAAGGGGCAGACAGGTAGCCCGAATGACAGTCAAAGAGGAAATGAGTTTGGATTCCCTCACTTTTCCATTTCTCAAATTTTTAATCGGGCCGTTTTTGCAATCTTGGTTCATTCCCTTAGTGCAACTGTCACCTGCTCCCCTTCCAGTTAGTTATGCGACTCAGGCCGATGCCAGGCTTGAGCAAACACACACACAAAGAGAACACCAGCAGCGACACACACTGAGGACATTCTTACCTAGCTGGACAAATTGTGACCATGCATGCCACACGAACACATCCCCTCGCAAACCATTACAAACCTGCCACAGTCACAGCTGCCAGTGCACTGATGAAGGCCCACCTGTCGTTTCTACCCCCTCTGATGCTTTCTGTCTCTCTCACACACACACACACACACACACACTCTCATGCATAGACACGAAAGGCCTTTGAGCAAGGTGGTCTGTAAGCATCACTCCACTGTCTGTATGCAAACCTCCCTGTATAATTAATGGAAGACCTTTGGTCGCATGGGCAATTTGTACAACTTGAGTGGTATAGCAGAGCAGGTTTGTGTCGGTCCGTGTGTTAACTTGACATCTGACAACGAGGGCAAGTGTATGACTTCGAAAATAAAATTGTGCGGACTACTTTAAAACAAATATGCATTTTGGTGCCTGCAGTCAAATTATGGAATAGTTTGGATGAGGATTTGAAAACAAAAGTCCTACTTTAAACCAATTTAAATTAATTTATAAGAAAAAAAAAGATTCATACACTTTTTAACAATGAGGAGAACAATATACTGTTTGTAAGTTATAGTCTTCATTACATATGTGGCCATGAGAGCAAAAGATTTATTTTGTAATTGTTGAGAAATGGGCAGGTTTTTATAAGGTTCTTCTTCTTCTTGCTCCTGTTTACTCATGTAGCTGAATTGTTACAAGACAACGTTTCCGTACATTTGTAATGTAACATGTTTTGTTGAGTGATTGATATAGTATTTAAGTTTTTACCTGTCGCTAATGTGAATTTCATGCTAACTACCCAGTTAGAAATGTATTTCTGAAACAAAAAAAAGGTTGTGTTCAACACTTATTTCCCCCATGGTATGAGGTAAGCCCACATTTGGGGGTTAAAAATTGTTGTTGGGTATAGAATTAATCTTGTTCCAACACCAGATGTGAGAGCGTAGGAAATAACGATGGAGGCCCAAGAGGATGAAGCCGGTTAGGCCGGTAATGAGTGTTGCGGCGAAGGTAGGATGGTGAAGGTGGCGGCGTTGGCTGTGGCAGCTATCGTCGCTCCGTCTTTAACTGGAATGCTGTATTGATTAAACCCGGTGATTTGGCCCTCATCGCTCCTCGCCAGCGCCATGCCAACGCAGCCCAGAGGGTAACATGGAAGAAGTATGTGCAGTACGGAGGGTAGGTGGGTTGGGAGGGGGGGGGAGCTGCTAGATGAGGCGCCAGCTGCCGGGCGCCTCCACCAACCCTCCTCCGAGACGCCAGCCCCCCCTACTATCACTCTCCCCTCCGCTATCTATCATCTCAATATGGTGCGGGCAGCCAGTTTGTGTTGTGCTAATTTCCTCCAATAAATCAGTAATTATTGCTGTGCCGTCCCTGCTGTCTCCCCCCCCCACTTACCCTTTTTTTTCCTTCTTTTTTTGCTTACTCTCACCCCTCTCTCTCCCTCTCTCCTTCTCCTGCAGCTGTTTTTCCATTTGTCCAGAGAGCGAGTGTTCTCCGAGGAGCGCACGCGCTTCTACGGCGCCGAGATCGTCTCAGCTCTCAACTACCTGCATTCAGCCAAGATTGTGTACCGGGACCTCAAGGTAAACACAGCCAAAGGAGTAAGAAGGGGAGGCTGGAGGGGGCACTTTTTTTCCCCTTTTACAGCTCCACAGTTGTGTGTCTTTCGTTTATTTAGGTTTTATTTGTCCAGGTTGAGACAAGTGGCTCAGAATCGGTTGTAATTAAAAAGTGGGACAGAAACCGACACAAAGCAGAGAAGAAGGGGGTGGGGAGGTGGGCTGCTGATGCCACAGAGGTAGAGAGGTAGATTGCTCCGTCTGAGCGCCTGCCTGGCAGCCTTGGCCTCAGACCCACTGACAGCAGCCAAGAAAAAATAGAAAAAAAAGAAAGAGAAAAGGCAGACGCAGAGTGAGACAAACACTTCAGCCATTAAAATTAAAAGGTTGAGTGGATCCACAACATGCCTGAAGTTTATTTCCCTCATTTGTTCAGAGCTGTGTGTTTTGAGTGCGCCTGCTACTCAAAACACACTGCTGGTGTTTACGTGTCTGCCTCTGCTGTCCTGCTTTGGAGAGGTTAAATCTTGGCGTCACTGTCCACACAGTTGTCCTTGATCTGTCAACAAAGCCCTTCACTGTAGGTACTGTGGTGCTTCTCAGTGATGGATAATGACAATCACTTGTGTCTTTTGTTTTGGGTCCAGTTGGAAAACCTGATGCTGGATAAAGATGGTCATATAAAAATCACAGATTTTGGACTCTGCAAGGAGGGCATCACTGATGCTGCTACAATGAAGACCTTCTGTGGAACTCCAGAGTACCTCGCTCCAGAGGTAACACTTTATGCTAATTGTTTGTGTAGCTTTATTCGTTTTTTGGTTTCTGAACCTCTCAGTGTCTTTATTTAAATCTTTGCACTACTTTATTATTTTCTAACTTTAACATTCCTGTGTTGAGTCTTCCTGTTTATCTGATTTGTGTCCTAATCGTACGCCTCTGAATGCAGTTGACAAAATATTAGGTGAAAAGATCTACCAGAACTGTAAAAATCTCCTTTTGGAATCAAAACAAGCAACTTTTTTTTTTTGCTAAATGGATTCAAGGCAATTTTGGTGCCTAGATTTTGAAGTATCTTCCATATTTACTGGTCCCTGGTAAAGATGCCCTATTGCAGAGGGCATGCTGTTAAAGGCATATGTATGTATTCAGAAGAAATGGCCTAAACTCAACCTAGACCTGCTAATCTACCATCCAAAGTCTGATGGATAATAAGATAGAGAAATTCTCTGTGTCGTTTTTTTAGTGTCTAGGATTATACTACTGCAATAATAAATGACTTGATTCATGTCTTCTTTTCATATTTATTGAGAAAGGTCTTGAATGTAACGTCCAAACTTCCAGTTTTGGGTCGTTTTTACATTTTGGACCAGCTAAGGATGGACCAGAAACAATCTGAAAATATAGGCAAAGATTTATTTAGCACATTTTAAGCAACAAAGCAGATCAAAGTGCTTGTAGTACAGAAGCCTTGAATGAAATTGCAATTTTTTAGAGATTCATTGTGTCACTGTTCACAGAAATAGTGAAACAAACATGCATGTGATAATGATAAATTCATCATCAAATGAATTTTCATTTGATAATCTAGATTATATGCAGCCAGAGTAACACTAGCTATAACATTTTATTTTGTTACACATTGACTGAAGTCAATGTTAGCATGACAAGTTGATATTAGCTGTTATCTGCTCTGGTAGCTAGCCCGCTTAATAGAAATCGTCATTGGAGTATCAATGTTTGCAATATCACAATGGCAAAGAACTGCTTAAATATAATAACATGTTATATGTGGAAGCACCATGCATGCACATTCTGCTTGTCAATGATATATTTAACCCGTTGCATAGACTATCACTGCCTTTGACGCCCGTACCTGATGAATGTTTTTAGTGGGTGTGATGCTGGGTGAAATTGTGATGAATCAAAAGAAAGAAAGAGTCACAAAATGGAGGTGAATCATACTTGATATTCAGTAATGCGGTCAGAATTATAGTTTTTCTTGATATGGTGCCGCCTTGTTGCTTATCAGGACAACATAGTTTCTACAGAAATGTGTTAATCTAATGAGATTGATAGCTGATGCTCCTTCGGTTTACACACGGTGACTGTTTGCATTTTTCATAGGTCCTCTGTGAAACAGCTTGCCAACCAGCTGGTGGCATGGGAACTGTAGTTTTAAAGTGGCTTTACTTAGATGGGTGGGGCTCCTTTAGTTTTCCAGCTTTGCTACTGGTAACAACCAAATAGCTTTTTTATTTTTTTCTGTCTGTATGTGTAGAACATCAAAGCATTTTCACAGTCAGCTGACCGGCAGTGCTCAGCAACAGGTGGGTGAGACGTAGACGTAGCCCAGGATGAGCTACGTCTGTTTAAATAATCAAGATGAGCCACAGATGAGATAACATGAGCTGCATATGAAAAGTTGAATAACAGACGTGACATGAAGTGCGGTTGTAACACGTTAGTTGAACGCGGTGACTAAGAAGTGATGAATTTCTTTCTAACTTTGACAGCACCCACCCTCTGTGTAGCTTTAATCAGCTGATGAGTGACACCATCGTCAGGGGTCTGTTCCGTAAAGCGAGCAGCTTGACTGAGGCCTGGTACGACATCAAAGCATCTGTGGCGTCCAGAGGCGGCCCGTCCATTAGGCGCCGTCTCTCCACCAATACGGTGGAGAGACGCCGGGGGAACTCGTGTCGCCCGCCGCACAGCGCCTGTTTATCTATCAGCAGCCCCGTCTGATCAGCTTAACTGATACTTTGATAAACAAGTTATAGGGTGGAAATAACTAGTTACATTTACATGAGTTACTTTTTGGAAAAACATCACTTTTTTTACTAATCTGTACTTTTTACTTTTAATTGAGTAACTTCTTTTCTTCTTTTTTATGACGTATCACTACTCTTGAGTCGGCCTAGCATGATAACAAATTTAGCTGGACGATACATTGGCCCAGAACTTATTGTGATAAATGATAATATCGTAATATTGTAATGAGACCATTATCTTTACAATAATGAAAGAGCACATCCTCAAAGGCCAGTAAACTGTAAACACTAGTGACCATTTAACAGTGGAAGTGGAAGCCCTTTTAAAAGAAAACATAAATAATTGTGAAGTCTCTGTAAACGAAATTATCCTTTAAAAAATGGCTAGTCGAGACAAAAGCACCAGACTGAAGACTTTTGTGATCCAGTTTTTGGTAGGAAGAGAGAAAAAGGATAAATAAACGTCAATGGAAATTGCTGAGCTCGTTTTAATGTGTCAGACGATCAGTCGATTTATTACTTATCGCTACAGGAATACTCCTAAGAAAAAAGTTTTCCGTTGCACAATTTTAGTTTGAAATGATGTCATTTATATATGAATTATTTTCATTCTGACTTTTAAAATACCAAAGACAAGCCATCTGGTGTAATTTTTAAAATATTTAATGATGTTTGATCGTCCGTTAACAAAATGGTTTTTTTACTCCAGTCATTTCTTGGACAGCTACTTTTTTAGATGCACTTGTGTAAAGATATGCTGAAGTTGGGATGCTCTTACTTGAATACAGTTTTTGGGTACACACTGATTTCCGGTGGCTCTCACAAACACACATTGTGTTTCCTTTTGTGAGTATGTTTGAATTCGTATTTCTCAGGCTTCAGAATATCAGGGTGAGGAGTAAATATGCAGCTCCTCAGTGTGAATGAGGGTGTTGCTGGTTGAACTGGAAAAGGACACACGAACGCGCACCGAAACAGCCACACTCTTGTACTCCTTTTTCTTCTTCTTCTGCTGCCGTACGCTGCCCAGCCGTCAGCGCTGCCTCAACGGGAGGCCAGCGGATCAACTGGCGAGATGGATGCCGGGGACTGTAGGTGGTGGAGCGATGGAGATGTGGATGTAAAGACAGGAGGAGAAAAGAGGCAGAGTGTAGATCCCACTCAAAAAAAAAAAAAAGTATGGAGGACAATTTGGCGCAGCATTTTGTGCCTTTTTTTGTAGTCCCTTCCTTTGTGTGCCAAAAGCTGATTGGAGGCTGTTGGTTATTTTTTCACAGGATGTGCGTCTCTGCGTGCATTTATGTGTGTGTGTGTGTATGTCAGTGCTGTGGAAAGTGCGGGCTAAAGCGAGGCAGATGGCGGCAGATGGGCGAGGTTGGAGGAAGGTGCTCGGAAAAAAAAAAAAAAGAAGGAAAAAAAAAAACCCTGGAAATCTACACCACCGCCACTCGCCCGCCCGCCCGCACACTCTGCTCGCCCGCGTGTAAAAATAACACGGTTCGCTTGAAGCCAAGTTACAGAGATGCAAAGTAGCCGGGATTAAAAAGAGGAAGGGGGGCTCAGAGAGGGGGTGAGGTGGGGGCCTGGAGGAAGACGAGAAAATATTTCAGGGTTACAGGAGTGGAAGTCGGATGGTTCCTGCTTTTTTTTTGCTATCTGTGGAAAGGGGCAGATGAGGAGTGAAGGAAGACCGACTCACTGCACCACTGAAGACGCTAAGCGTCAGCTCGAGGTGTTGTTGTTTCAAGGACGGCCACAGTAAATAATAAAAAAAGAAAGAACAATGTCAACGTGAGAATAATGAACAGAGAGATGGGACACGTGGGGAGTGTTTTCTCTGCTCTTTCCTCCATGTTTTCTGTGTTTGACACATTTCTTTGTGGCAGTTTTGTAAGTGTTAAAAGGGGGTGGATCTGGTCCTTTTCCATTCCTGGGTGTGCGTTTCTCTTTTATTTTGGTGCGCCATATATGTGACCTTTCTACTGTAAATGTTTTACAAACATAGCGCCGCACTCAGCTGTTAGCGGAACATTTGAGAAATGCTAGCAGATTGTCAGGGTAAACCCGTTTCCAAATAATGACACTGTGCAGAGAGAAGGTCTGTGTCTGACATCAGCAATATGGGATTGTATCGCCACAGTATATGAGGTGTGTGTATGTGGAAGAGTGTGTGTGTGCTCCCCTGCTGGCTATGTGTGCTGGTGCAGCCACAGGCATTGTGTGCCTGTCCTGTCCCGTGTAGTCATGCCCGCTTTGCCAAAGGCCCCCCCCGTCCGGCAGACAGCAGCTAGCTGCCACATGGCGGCCCCGGTGGGGACCGGGTCGGGACCTTCTCCCTCTCTGCTGCTTTTCATCTCAGCTCCATCTTTCCTGCTGATGGTTTAAATTGTCCCTAACTCATATTGTCCCATTTATTTGTCAGCTCTCGCGCTAAATTGTACACACACACACACGCGCGCGCACACAACCCGATGCCTCGGCGCCTGGGGCTGTAGGGCAGCATTCTGGCTCTGTGTGGATTAATCTGCTCCCTGCCTGCAGCCGAGCTGCCACCACCTCCTTCAGTCATGGGTCAGCCTAAAACACACAGCTACATGCACATGCGTGTAGCTGTGCACGCAAAAAAAAAAAAAAAAAAAAGTAAAAAATTCACTCCCATTGAACTTTTCTTTGCAGTTTGTCACGCCGCAACTGCAAAGTTCGGTGTGTTTTATGTGGTACTAGTAGTGCATGTTTGATAGGAAAGTGAGGCATAGTTCACTCTTATTTGTGTGCGTGTGTGTGCATGTATTCATTTCAAAAATACTTTATTTATCCCAAAGGGACAAAATGTTGTCATAACTTACATCATCCAAATATTTTCAGTCGTTTTCCAGTAGCTGTCAGTCTCGCAACAAATCGAAAGAGGTTTCTGACAGAAGACTGCTGCTGTGCGACTCATGACTTCATGACATGCTAATGGTTTAATATTTGGCATGCGGAGGCTATTCTCCTCCCAGAGTACTGCTAATCTTCCTCATATGGAATTCCTTCTCACTCCAACATCCATAAAATAAAGCCAGTGCAACTAACTGGCTCCACATGCAAGAAAATTAGTAAACAAAGTTCATTTGTGTCAGTATAAGTTGAGCTTTTTTGAGATTTGTTGATGTGATGGAGACTGAGGAGCTTATCAGAAAGGTCTGGGAGGAATTTGGGAAGAGTAACTCATTGTGAACCTACTTGTCCATGTAATCTGAGAGGCAGCGCAAGGAGAGCATTTGTCAAAGAAGCAGCCAAGAGGTCAGCGGTGACTCTGGAGGAGCTGCAGAGATCCACAGATCAGTAACAGAGCTTAGCTGTGCACTTTAACAGATGTGGCAGGAATAAAGCCATCGCTGGGAGATGGACAATAGAAGTTGTGTTAAAGGTTTGCTGTAGAGGAAAACTGTTCATTTCCGCTCAGGTGGAACTAAAACTCAACTTTTAGTTTTTTGGGTTTTTTTTTTTACCAGGTTTTCGTACGAAAATACATGATGGTGGTGGCAGCATCATGAAAGGAAAGCTGACTAGAGTTGATGCAACAAACAACAATTTATGCTTTTTATTTTGAATTAATTTTTTTTTCAAATTATATTATATCATGTGGGGGAAAGAAATCGACTAAACGCCTTGGCGAGTGAAAAACTGATTTATTTACATCTCTGTACTATTTCTTTATGCAAAAGATGCAACATACAGTTCAGAGTAGATTAGCACCAAAAGCAGTCCCCCACTCCTCCCAAGCTGCTCTGAATTTCATAAACTGCAGCCCTCTGTGTGTGTATGCGTGTGTGTGCACTGAAACAACACCAAACATCTCCCAGTTTGCTTCACTCTCCAAACTTTATGAATTTGATGAGGATGGATAAATATTCCATCTGCCGTGTATGAGTGTGTGTCTGACAGTCTCCCAGCAGTCTAAGCCGATGTTATCCCTCCAGCCGTACCAGTCAGAAGTGTGTATCTGGAGCTGGCGGCGCGCTTCATTCCCTCAGCTCTTCCCTGCAGCTGCCAACTGGGTGACCAGCTTGATTCACACGCGAACATATTCACACATTAAAAAAAAATAAATTAAAAAATTAAAATCTCTCTCGTAACTCTTCCACGCGCCTCGCAGGAGAAGTAAGACCACTTCAGCTGGTTTCTCACATTCTGTCACATGTATTGTATTGGGGGTTTATTTTATAGGGCCATATGAAGCAGAACATAAGAAGGAAGAAAAAAAATCATTGTCGCAAGAAATGAAGAGGTTCGGTTTGTTGCAACAAACATGGGGGCTTTTTGACCTGCATGTAAAAAAAAATAAAAGCTACATGTGTGGCAGGAAACCATCAGTGCACACAACCCAGAGGAAACGATAACAGTACAGCATGGTGGTGGCAGCGTCATGCTATGAGAAATGGGAAGAATTTCTCCTTCAGGAACAGCTTAACTGTTCAAAGTTGATGGCAACACGGTGGAGCTAAATACAGGGAAACACAGCTACAACAGAATGGTTTAGATTGAACCGTTTTCCCGTGTTTGAGTGGTCCAGTCAAAGTAGAGAACCCAAATCAAATTTGTGACAGCAAAACAAATTCATCTTCGTTTGAGCTGGATCTGTTCCACAAAGAAAAAAAAAGCTAAACTACTGAAAGAAAGGAGCTCATTTGAAACGGGTCAGTACTTGTGTAAACAATGGGTTTCATTATGATCATGAAATAACAATTAACCACTTTGGGAATTGATCCTGAGGTCAAAAAAATGACAATGAAGCCCAAAAGTTTCAACTACTAATCTTTAGACTTTTTTTTGTTTGTTATAAAATTCAACGACACAAACGTCGTTCTGTAAAATAAATTTTAAAGATGAAAATGTATTTTCCATTCATTTCTACTGAGATCTCTGTAAAAACTAGTGTTTGTGCCTGAAAGCGATGCTCCCACTTGTTCACCTTCTCGAATCAGAGCAGATTTAAATCAGATTATGTTTGGGGCGCCGCTCATATAGACGTGTCTGTCCTCTGATCAGTGTGTGCATTGGTGTGTGTGTGTGTGTGTGTATACGTTTCTATATTTGCAACGGCGGTCCTTCCTGTCTCCTGCTCCCTGCTGGCGGTGCTTCGGCGTGCGCCGCAGTTCTGAATCTCCTCCTGTTGTGACATCTTCGGCGTAATTGTCTGCTGTAATTGAGAATTGTCGCGTTCTGAACAGGTTTTCTGTGAGTGTGTTTGTGAATGTTTGCGTCCTTGTGTCTGACTGGTCCATTAACAGTGAGTGAGATGTTATTATTATTGGCGTGATGAACAGCATATGCTGTTCTGGCGTCTCTCCAGCTCTGTCTGTCCGTCTGTCTGTCTGTAACACGCGCTCAGGCACAACACGTACACTCATCATGGTAATAAGCTTATTATGGTAATGAGGAAGTCGATGGCACCTGAGTTACCTCTGTTCTCGATGAAAGAGGAGGGAAGACGTGAAACTGCCCAGATAAAGACTTTCATGTAGCGATGACTTTCTCCCCCGCACGTCTTTTTCCTCAGCAGATCTTACGATTCAGCAGCACCTGCGCTGCCCAGCTTAGAGGTCAGAACAGCCTTGACTCCGGCTGAGGGCCGTCCCCACGTTTTCCCCATCCAGGATTCTTCCTGTCTGTCGCTGCCAGGAGGGTCCGGTGGTCCAGGGAGAGCTGGCAGCTTCCTTACTGTAACACAGACCTCTGAGGAACCGTACGCCGCAAAAACACTAAATCTTCCCAAGTATTTTGTCGTATTTCTAGTGTGAATATGTTAGTGCACTAGAAATAGCGGCAAAACTAACTTACAAGTAACTTTTCAGCAAGGCAGAAGAGCTTGTTTTAAGTCGGTAATTCTTCAACTGCTAGTTATAAATGAAATAATGACAATGCAATTAGAACTTTTGCATCAGTATTAAAGAACTATTGACTGAAAACAAGCTCCTGTATCTTGATCAAAAGTTATGTGCACTAGGAGCTAGACCAAAACTGGATTTTGTGTTTTTACAGTGTATGCACCTCGTGATGTTTGCTCACTTCCAACTCCAAAACAACTTTTCGGCTTTTATTTCTCCTCGGAAGCATTTCGACATGCTTCTTCTCCCACTCCACCCCAGTCGGCATCATCCCAAAACAAAAACAAAAAAAAGCCTAAACGCAGGCGTCCATTAAAACGAACGGTCCCTCTTAGAAACTGTGCCTTTCTGTCCCTCTGCCCCTCCGTCCGCCGCCGTCCTCAGGTCCTGGAGGACAACGACTACGGCCGCGCCGTGGACTGGTGGGGGCTGGGCGTGGTGACGTACGAGATGATGTGCGGCCGGCTGCCGTTCTACAACCAGGACCACGAGAAGCTGTTCGAGCTCATCCTCATGGAGGACATCAAGTTCCCACGCACGCTGTCGGCCGACGCCAAGTCGCTGCTGTCCGGCCTGCTCATCAAAGACCCGAACAAAAGGTGTGGCTCGCTGGTCAGAAGGTTCTGCTAAAGCAGCTGTCTCTGTATCAGTGTCTTTAAAGTGGATCACAATTTAACTGTATCACAAAAAAGTTCTGTACTTTTTATGGCAGTAGAATAATCTCACAGTGAAATGTTTAGAAAAATCCAAACTTATTGAGTATTTGTGGTCTAGTTTTCAGTCCAAAATCTCAGTACACTTCAAATAAAACAAAAGTAACTTACAAGTTACAGCAGGATATAGGTGTTTGTTTTTTGTAATTTCTTAAGAGCACTAGTTCCACTGGTGGATTATCTCACTTATTATAAGATTTTGTGCCATAATATAAGGGAAAATCTGCCAGTGAAACAAGTACTTTAAAAAAAAAAATCAATATTAAGGAACTATTGACTTAAAACCAGCTACTAAATTACTGAATTTATTTTATTCCAAGTGTCCTAATATATGTGCACTAAAAACAAAATATGAATACATTTAATTAAAATATAATCAGGGTGGAAAAGAAACGCATCCACAGCGTCATAGATTCTCTGCTCTTCTTATAAGTGGACTTGAGGTGGTTTCTACTCCTTCATCCTTGGTTTCATGCTCTTCAAGTCTCAGTCTGGTCTGACCAGAGCACATAGTTCCAGTTAAAGTCCAGGGACTTTAGCAAAATCCACACGTTTATGTTCGTGATGGTAACAGAAAATCTTTCTCTTCTGACGTCACTTCACCAGAGTCTCGAGTTTCTGTTTATAATGAAGCTTTTCAGTCATTAGCGCAGGTTTTTGCGCCCTCCGGTTTGGATTCTTCATCTCCAGGCAGACGCGGCTGTGTTTTACTTTATCGTTTTAGTAAAAATGAAGCGCTCTGCTAATCCCAGCTTTTGTTTTTTTGTTTCCCTCTTCCCTGCGCCAGGCTCGGGGGCGGACCGGAAGACGCTAAGGAAATAATGAGGCACAGTTTCTTCTCTGGCGTCGACTGGCAGGATGTTTACGACAAAAAGGTACATCACGGTAAAAACTGCGTGGCTTACTTTAGCGGCGGTGGCTTTCTCCGAAGCATAACAGCATCCACCTTTTTTTTATGCGAGAGATTTATTGAACCACTTGCCCGTAAATTCTGCACAGAGGTCAAGATTGCGCGACAGTTGTCATGCAGCAGATCTATAGGAGGAGCCGACAGGCAGCTGTTTAAAACAGTCAGTGTCACAGAGGTGTGACTTTGTCTCCTAAGAATCAGTGTTTGCTCACACACTACTGAGTGAGACTTGTGTCCCGTGAGGAAGCACCTGCGGCGTCTTACGCAGGTGTTGAGCTTCCTGCTCACTCCTCCCTCTGTTTTTCTCCTCCTTTCCTTCTCCTTTGTGTGTTTTTTTTTATCTTTTTTTTTGTATACGTGAAGCATTTCATACTCACTCAATGACACAAACACCTAATGTGAGGTTGGAGAGCAACAAAACGACGTGGTGTTTTGACAACACACAAAAACTAAATCAGAAACTATAAGGATTAATACAATACTTAGTTTTATTTAGACCTGTGCAGTTAGACATTTATATGAAAATGTATTTGCTTCCAGAGTCACAAAAATTGTGATCAACAACAACAAAAAATATCAACACTTTTTGCCCAAACTGCATATTGGTGAAGTTTGAGGGAACGTAATATTTACGTGATCAACAGATTTTAAGGCAAAAAAAAAAAGTCCTACCTAACCCATAACTGGTTAAATTTGCATTTAATTGGACTCAGGACATAAGCGCTGATTAAATACCATTGATTAATTTGACAAGTGTTCAGACCAGAACCTTTGCATTTGCTCTTTTCTGTTACGCCTGCAAGTCCGACGCACAAGCGACAAAATCAAGAAGCCCGGTGCTTTTGTCGAGAACGACTAAAAACCAGCCGACATGTCTGATCGTCAACGCCACGATCTAAAACCGACAGCCGTCGTCGTCTCTGCTGCGCCTGTGGAGCACTGATCCAATGTCTCCTCTGTGTCCCAGCTCGTCCCTCCCTTCAAGCCTCAGGTGACGTCGGAGACGGACACCAGGTACTTCGACGAGGAGTTCACAGTTCAGACCATCACAATCACTCCACCAGAGAAATGTGAGTCCCTTCCATGTTTTCTGATCCCCCCCAGGTGCACACGAATGTCCCGTGTCGTCTGAGACAAGGTGTCTAAGAAAAAAACAAAACAGTATTTCCTGTTTTCGAAATAACTGCATGAAGAAATAATCAGCGTCTCCGTTAGTCCTCCGGCCACTAGCACTTTTTTGCACACTTTTAAGAACATGCTGCTGTTTTCAGTGTGTTCTGCACTGAATTATGCATGAGTGACACAACACTGCAGGAGTTCCCCGCATCAGATGCACGCTGTTAATTGAATTGTTCTCAGTTTACTTCTTCAACACTAAAACAAAGCCGAATATTATCACTGTCTTCAAAAAAAAAAACATCTTAGAATTTGTTTCATATTTTGTCATGTTACAGCACATGAATCTAGATGTGTTTTATTGAGATTTCATCCGGTAAACCAACACAACTTGGTGGATATTTGTTACAAGGAAATAAAAACTCATAGATAAAACTACAAACATTCACCTTTGACTCGGACTGTGCGAAACATTCATTTTTCAGACTTGCCATGGATTTCTAAATAGGTCTGGACTTTGTTCCATTCTAACGCATGATCCAAGACAATTCTACTGTAGCTCTGGATGCCCGCAGCATAATATCGCCACCACCGTGTCCGCTGCGGTGTTGGTGAGTTCAGGCTAAAAGCAAAGGCACACTTTTCAGATTTCCGTTTGGGGAAAACTTTGAAATCGTTATAATTTCCCTTCTGCCTTACAATTATGCACAACTTTACAACTTTGATTTAGAGCAAAATCTCAATGTATTACCTTGAAGTAGGTGGATGTGACTTGACAAAATGTGGAAATGTCATGAATACTTCAGCAGGATGTGCTGCTAAAATTCTACATATATATACATATATGTATATTAAAAGCTCAGTGCAAATATTCTTGACATTATTTACTTGTGAATCTTCCCCTCATTAGTCGATGAGGATGGAATGGACTGTCTGGACAACGAGAGGCGACCGCACTTCCCGCAGTTCTCGTACTCGGCCAGCGGGCGAGAATGAACTGTCCATCACGGTGACATTGTCACAGCTGGTCTCTGAGGCCGCCAGCGTGGGACACGAAGACCCCGCAGCTTCGGACCAACCCAGACTTGAAGGATTTTTGCCCTTTTCTCCTCCATTCCTTCTCTTCAGTCTGCTTCTTACTTACTTTATTTATTTGTTTCTCTCTCTCTCTCTCTCTTTTTTGTGAATCTCTTCAGAGGTCAAAACCTCGAGGCAAAACTAGAGTTCACTCCTGCACTCTGAACTGCGACGCACGCGATCTGTTGACTTTTTTTTTTTAACGACCCTTTAACGACGGGAGCTTCACCGGCCCCCTGCTGTGCTTTGACATCTGTTTCTCTAAAACACGTAACGTAAATAAAAGCCCAAACTCTTAAAATATTGGCCGGCGCAGTTTTCAGGTAGTGTTCGTGTCTGCGCGACACGCGCGTTCAGTTGTTGGAACCCAAACTGCCATAGCGGGTCGTAACTCAGGCTTTCGCGAACACAAACTCGGCGAGACGTTTGCGTCTGGCGACACGTGGTCGGTTCGGTGATTCCGGGTCGGACTGAGCAGCGTGGGGGTGGGGGCCACGCACTCCTTCCCTCGTGTCGTCAAGCAGGATTTGACTCAGGTGCTGCTCAGTGCAAGTCATGTTGTTGCTGCTATTTCAACCACAACGACTACAGGTACCGCTCTTCTTCTACTGCTACTACTGACATCCGGTGCTACGCCTCCAGCTGGCCGTTCAAGGCGACAGCTAAGCGCCCCAAACTATGCTCGTCCAGCTGCTACCTTTTACTCTGCTGCTCTTAAATGTCATCGACTGATGATCACCATGGGGCTTTTACTTTACTGGCAACTCAAAGCACAGCAGCCCAGGCAGATGAAGCTCTGGTTAGCTTTACTACGTCACCAACAATGCAGCGGAAATGCAAGAAGAAGAAGAAGAAGAAGAAGTGAAAGTTCGAGAAAATCAGCTGGTTTGAATGTTTTTTTCCCCTCCCCAACCGAAATGTTTTTTTGTTTCTTTCTCTTTTTGTTTTTATTTTTTTTCTTTTCTTTGAATTGACCTTAAATCTCCAAAAAGGGAAAAGCTTAACTGAAACGGTACTTTCTCAGCTTTACTGTGACTCACGGTTATCACGGCTTTGGGATCCACACAGGCTGTGAATCCAGAATGTTAGACATAGGAAAGGGACTGTTATTAGAAGCGACGAGGTGGGGAGAAACAAAAAATGCAATATGAATAATGATTTATAATGTGATCACTTAAGATGTAATGAGGTTAACAGCTTAGCTACTGTTTTCTGCAAGTTCATTAAGGCGGTTTTTAAAACGACACGGTTTGTGAGGAAGTAAACAGAAGCGGATGTGAGTTTACAAGAATCACAGCACTTGCTATAATATATATATGTTCTATTTATTGCTCTACACATTGGTTTTATATTTAACCTTTTCTATTGTTATTACATGATTAAAAAAGTATATTGTTGTTTCTTAAGATTGAGAGAAATATTGCACCTCAAGAAACAAAAATGGCTGAAGAATGTCGGAGGGAAAGCAGAAAGCCTTCCTGCTCCATTTCTTTGTTTTCATTTTTTATTTTATTTTTTCATTTTTAGGCTTTGTGTTCTGTGACCAAAATGTGACGGCCGGAGGAGACGGCACACGCCGAAGACGGTTAAGACCTGAATGTCCCCGACTCTTGATGTTGGATGTGTGTTTGGTGACGGCCCGAAGGGGGGTGGAGGGGGGTATTGAGAGAGAAAGCGGAAGTGGATCAAAGGGAGAACGAGGAAGGGTGATGTCTAAGTGTGTCAAGAAAAGAGACGAAAGAATTCAGTCGGTGTTTTAGTCTGTAAGGTGGAGATTCACTGAGAAGTCGGCGTATGACTGAAAACGGGGGGGTTTCAGATTCTGTCCAGTCAGTGAATGCACCGTACCCAAACACTAGCAGGACTTGTTGACAGTAACACTCGTCCTGTGGAAGTTGTTACAGAAAGAAGACTCATAACTGGCTGTTTTCAGGACAGGAGAGACATTTCGAGGAAATCAGAGGAAGTGTGTGAGACGTTTTCAGCTATGTGAATGAAACAGGAGGTTCTCTGGCGGTTCAGTCCTGTTGCTAATGACTTTAAAAGTCTGAAAACATCCAGGATGTGAATATTCATTCACAGTGATTAGAAGTAGGGTAGGTTTCCAACATTCACTTCTGTTTGTTGATGATCTGGTAAAGGAATTCAGATGTTATTACACTGTAACAGCAGAAACTCAATAGCCCAGCATATGTCACATTTGAACCTACATATTGTGGTTCTGAAACCAGTCCATTGTGATTTGTTTTGGAGTTCAATATTATGTCATTCGTTACTTGCTCCTTTGTGTTGGGACAAGTGTAAATTAAATTAGGAGTGTCTTATAAGTGTCGACTCTTTAAAATGAAAAGAGTCATCTTCCTCTCAGGAGCAGATTGCTGTTTTATAAATGCTAACTGGGCAAATTAGCATTAGCAAACAACAGTAAGACTGGGAACAAATATTTCAAACCCTGCCGAAGATAAATCGTTTTGTCCGAATCTGACATGGGCCACGAACCTCTACCTGAAATGCCGATGACGAGCCGACCTCTGACCCCTGCCGTCTTGGGCCCGTGCCGTCTCCTCCGGTCTGGACTCTTTGTATTTGCAATTGTTGCGCCGTCATGTCCTCCAGACCGACAAAAGGTCTTAGAAATTCCCCACGATTTCTCTGTCTCCAAACGCTGTTGGGGAAGCCTGGTGGTTTCACAAGGTCAAAAACCTCGGAGTCTAAAAGAGAGAGGAAAGAAAAAATAATCAAAGACAACCTGTTGTGTTTTTAGCATCTGGTTTACACACTGAGGGCATCAGGGGAGTTGCTCTGAGGCAGAGAAAACATTATTCCAGTATATTTATTATTTGAATGTCTTTGGATAACTTGAGTTTGTTTTCTATTTAATTTATTTGTTGTCTTTTTTTTTTTTTGTTTATTTTGTTTTGGGCCTTTAGCAGTAAGGTGAGGTTGTAGTCAGTTTTCAATTTTTTATTTTTTTGGTTCTAAAAATAAATGTTTTTTTTTTTTTCTTTGTTTAAAGGTACGTCTTACACACAACCTCTTACCTGTTTTTTCTGCTGCTCTTAAGTCCATATGCTTTACTGTTGCACTACCATTGAACTGCAAATAGCTAGCAAACCCGCTTTATGGCAGAAAGTTCAAAAAGGAAAAGAAGCAAAAAAGAAAATAAAAAATAACGGCGCTGGCCTGCATGCTGTAGTTCTCCGTCCGTCCGTCAGCCTCGAGTCAAAACGGCGCTCTGAACTCCGATGAAAAATACTCGTGTGATCGATGCGGCCTGTTCTGGTAGCCGGGGAAAGTCCAAATCCCAACCCAGCTGGCAGCCCTGACAGGCTCAAGGAAGCGCGCTCAAGTATTTGGAAGGATTTCAGCTTTGACTTGACTCAGGTCGGCGAGCAGCTGAGGAGTTCTAGCTGCGTGCGAACGCACGTCAACGCCAAAAAAACCGTTACGAGATAAAACCCACCACCACCAGAGTTCATGAAGTACGGCTCTGTAGCTTTGAACACAGCACTTTTCGCATCCCATCACTTTTGATACGATTCAGAGGAATTTGATTCAGCCCTGCTTTAAAGCAAGATTTTTAGCTTTTTTTTATGTTTTTAAAGAAAAAGAAGAAAAAGAAAAAACGACGATTTTTAACTAATAAACCAATCTCCAGATACAACCATTTGGCTAGGATTTGACAGACGTGGCTGAGGCGTGCAGCAGTCGGCCCGCGGTGGGACGGTTTAGAAACCCAAACGTTGATCGTTAATTGCACTGAAAAGTTTTTCTTCCTGTGAGCCTCCAGCTCTCCGTTTGGGTGGATTCTGGGGTCAGGCGTGAAGAACTTGACTTGAGGTGATGAAGAGTACTGATCGATACTAATCAGTGTGGGTGGGGGGCAGACGTCTCACAAAGCCAGTTTCTTCTTCCTCACGGCTTTACATGACCCCTCACCACCATCACACCATCCAACCAAACGGCGTGTGAAATCCGGGACGCCGCCATGCCGGCTCTCCGTCCTAAAGCCGCTGCCGTTTGTACCTCCCAGCGCCCAGCGACTTCAGGCGCGTCTCGGCTGCTCCGCATTCGTCTCGTTCCGTTGACATCGGCCAAAATTCGCCCGATGCTCGCCGCGCCGCTACCAAACAGGAAGCGGGCTCGCGTTTGAAACACTGAACCGAAGAGAGGAGACTTCCTTTCTGCAGCAGATTCCTTCTCCCCCTGCCCCTCCCGGTTTACCTCCGTCAACCTGAGTATTAACAGCATGAGAGTCATTTATTGAGTTTAGAAGCAGCAAACATGTATAAATACTAAAGCGCCATGTCCATTACACACTGTAGCTGAACAGTAGTGAGAGGGAAGGCCGCGTTTCCAACACAGGAAATGACAGCAGAGCGGATCAAGCAGCCTTTCTGTCCTACATGCCGTCAGGTTGCCGAGGTTTGGGCCAGAGAGGCCACAAGGATGTGAGAACAACACATTACCATCAACATGGAGCTGTTTTTTATTATTATTATTCTGTACATCCTTAGTATTTTTACACATAAGATGTATCAGATAGGGATGCACATTATTTTCCTTCTTACAGACGGCTTCAATAAAGCACTATGTCAATCTGCTGAGCTGTGAATTTCTTTCACTTGTCTTCAATGGGTGGCTTTTGTGTTTAATCAAACAAAATGTAGGGAAATTGAATTTTGTCTTTAGGTGCAAAATTGAACTGTATTTGAAATGCACAACTTTTGCAGGAAATATTTACTTTTTAAATCTTTACTTCCTGGGACTTAACAAAATCTCATTTTGTTAAGCTACCAGTTTGCGTGTGTGTTATTGCCAAAAAGGTCTGAAGGAGGGAAACATTTAGATTATTCATAAATTACTGTATATGATGAGGCATGAAGCTAATCTCATTTATTAAAAAATGAACAAAAATATCTTTTTTTGTCAGTCCAAGAGTGCAACAATACTGTTTTGGCTTTTACTTTTCTTTTACATTTATAAAGTCCCATAACTCCATATTTGACTATGTAATCAACTACATGCTCCACTTAAATACAAAGGCCAACAAATTTCAATACAAATTGCTAGCTCCCCTCTGTTTTGATATGACTCTTTGATAACTCAGCTCATGACTTCTGGGAGTTAAAGTGAAATAAATGTATGTTAAACATACAAAAAATGTGTTCCTCCTGTATAAATACAGCACTTTTATGAACCACTGGATGAGCTGCCACTGTCCATCGTTATGCTTTTTCTCTAAACGTCACATTTAAAATGGTGTTCACTTTTCGCAGTGAACACTATTTAAATACCGTTGCTGTTATGATTTTACAGCGCAAAAGCAAAAAGGGGAGGAAAATTTTGACAATGACAAATTCTGAGATCGTTTGAGGTAAAAACAATATTTGATCAATTTCACAGGTCAACGGGACAACCCAATGAACAAGATGAGAAGAACTGCAAATTAAGTCATTTTAAAAGTGTTGCTTTGGGTTTTATTAATGTTCAGCACCGTAGTCCTTGATAATCTCACACCTTAAACACATCATTCACAGTAAAGGTTACATAAAACACATCCTAATGGGGAATAGAGTAGAAAAATTGTCCTTCTTGTTTCTGTTTAGCATCCAGAACAAAAGACTGAAGAGGAGGAACCAGAACCGATGTGCTCATGTAATCACTGGTTCATTTCGTCTCAGATTGGGTAACTAGAAAGATAAAAAACAAAACAAAAACAATGATTAATACCAACACACTGTGTGTGTGTGTGTGTGTATGCGTGTGTGAACAGCTCATAATGATGCAAAGCAGAATAAAGAAACCTTCCACAAATCCACAACCAGATGATTCATTAGTTTAAACATGGCATAAAAAACCCAACACAACACTTTGACTTTTACCCTCAGTATGAAGTCGACAGATTTATTTAATTAGTGATCAGTTCGTTGTGTGTGTGTGTGTGTGTGTGTGTGTGTGTGTGTGTGTGTGTGCTGTGTACCTCGATGCGTAGGTTCTGCATCTCCTCACTAAGCGCGTTTCTTTCCTGCATCAGCTGGCTCTGTTTGGCCAGAAGCTCACACACCTGCTGGGCGCTGCTCTGACAGTGTTGGTCCAACTGCTGCAGCCTGCAACACACACACACACACACACACACACACACACACACACACACACACACACACACAGTATGACTTTCCATCTTCACAAAGACTTTGCACTGACTTCCATTTACATAACGTAGGATTATAGGCCTAGGGTTATGTAGCCTATAACCCTAGGCTACATAATCCTAACTCATAACCCTAAAACAGCACTTCCACAGGCTTTGGACTCCAGAAGCATGTCGTATTTGGGCCTTACATGGTAAGAAATGTTAAAACACACACAAGCACACACAGAGGTTGACTGGAAGAGCAGGGGAATAACCAGCTCTCCTGGCGAATATAAAACCAAATGTTGTAAATATTGAAACGGAGCTGGATTCACAAAGAGCTTCTAATTTCACTCAACACTGCTGAGGAGGAGACGATGGCGATGTAGGCCAGGTGTGTTTGAGACAGTGGAGGAGAACATCAAGACTAGTCCGATGGATCGTCATCGTCTGATGGAGCCAATGGAGGTTTTCATGTAAAGAAAGGATCTTTTAGCACAGGAATAATCTTAGGAAAATGAAACATTAATGATGTACAAAAGGCAATTAGATAAAAAAACAAAAAACTCATAAAAAATCAGGATATTTTAATTAGACCTAAAGCTCCAGGTCTGTGTGAAGAGGTGAAAGGTGAGCAGTTTGCATCAGACTCACCACCAACCAGACATGAGGGGGGAAAAAGTGCTGGAGGAATCAAAATTGAAGAATATAGACAAGAAGAATCCACTAAGAGTAGAAGATGTTTGCAGTGAAATAAACACTTTCTTAAACATTTTCTAAATTTGACAAACTTTTGTTAGGGAACTGTGAAAGAATAAGAGAAATAAGGTGATGATTTAGTTCAGATGAGCTGTTTTTACCCTCAGTTCAACTAAAGGAAAACAAAACAAAAGCTTGTTTAAAGCCACAAATGTCACTTGTTTTTGATGAAAATCTACAATTGGACATTTTGAGGAACCAACATTGTATTTCTATTTTCAGGTTTCATAATAAAAATATACTTTTTTTTTTTTTTGCAAAAATGTGATAGAAAAAAAAACAACAACATTATTTTCAACCCCTAAAAAGAAACAATAAGCGAAAAGGTTCAAGCTGCAAGTCTAAGAAGCAAGCAGGTATTTTTGATAAAGTATGATGGACTCGCAGTGGGACAGAAGCTGCTACAGCAAACAAAACATGAGCATTACTACGGATCTCCAATGTTTGCATATATAAACTTTTATTTCAGAACTGTTTTACTGGTCATCTACAAAGTCTTCCCGTCCAAAATGCATGATTATTTATTTATTTATTGTTTTACAAAGAAAAGAATCTTCACTTTAAATCCAATCTGCTGTTTTCTGGCCACGCTCCGTTTCGGTTGCTAGCTGCCTGCTGATTGGGACTCAACATTACGAAGGTTTTTGAAACGGCTCATTTTCTAGACACCAAAGATCGTTAACTTGTTGCCAGGAAACAGCTGGGTTTCTTTTTTTTAATTTTATTTTATTTTTAAGTTTAGCTGTTTTCAGCATCAGTAGAGAAGCAAATGGAAGTACAAAAAACATCCAAAAACAAAACCTTGTATGACGCGTCCCTTTCAAAGAACAGAAGCCAAACCAACTACTGCTTCAGGTTCAAATGGCAGCCAGAAAGATGGTTAGCTACAGAGGAGGAAGAGGAGGATGATGAGGGTTTTGGGCTTGGGGCAAGCGACCCTACCCTGCTGGTCATGTTGGCAGCGGCTGGCCCGCCTCCCTGCCTCAGTGTGACAGACGGAGGAGGCGAACATCCCAACTCTGCTACACAATCTGCTCCCTGCTCCCCCTCCCTCACCAGGCCCTGCATGCTCTCCACTTTAATCCTCCTCTACCTCTTCATTTGGAGACCCCGGCCACACACACACACACACACACACACACACATCTTCCTCAGCATCATCCTCCTTGCACTCTCTCGGCGTTAACCTGCCCTCCGCCTGAGGGAGTGTTTTATCCCAGACCTGCGGCTCGGTCCGGTTCCTGGAGTCCGAGGGCGGCGACCCTCCTCCCCGCCTGGCGCTCCTGCAGCCGGCTTCCAAGCTGTCCTGACCAGCCGCCTCCCCCCACTCCTTCCTCCTACTCTGCATCTCCCTCCTACGCCACTGCACAGCACGACATCACACTACCGTCCAAAGCAGTGATGTTCTGCTCACGAAGAGCGGCAGACATCAGCCTAAAGGTCAGAAACAGAGCCTGTTGTTCTGTAAAGGTTTGATGAGGGAAGTGTTGAGAATGTTCCGACTGCAGGCCTTCAGCTCCACACCACCGAGCTCATCTGAGTCACACACACTCAGACAGAAAATGTCGGTCCTTATCCAGTTACAGCTTCCCCTCACCGACGCACCGGAATCCACCCAACGCTGCCAGTCGATCAAAGAGAAACTTCCAGAAGCTCGCTGCGGAGAATTTGTCGCGACGAGTGACGGGATGTAAAATCCGCTCTGGGTTTGTGACACGGTGAGAGATGCATGGAAATGTTTCGCCAAGACAAGTTTTACACTTTGTCTTCTGCTGGAGATACATGTGACACTGCAACAAAGGATTTATTGTCAGTCTGGGAAGTTTTTCCTCAGAAGTGAACCAGACGACATCCTGCCAAGACAAACAGAACCAGAATCTGCCGTCGCCAAGGATCACAGCGCGATTTCTTCTTCTGGCTTTATGGAGGAGATTTTCAGCTGTAAGGAGTCTGATCAACCCCTCAATACAGACAGACGCAGCATTACCACACACAAGAGTCATTATCTGCCCAATAATTCAAATTATACGTCATGACAACAGTCATAAACATTCATGGAGACTCAGGCAACATGTCTTACATACACCTTCAAATGTATTCATCCTCCTTTTGTAAAAGTTGTATACGTCTGGATGGTAAAGGTTGCAGACAATCCCATGAAACCCCAATGAAAACACATCGAGGTAACGCGACACGATGTGGACATGGTAAAGGGCTGTGAACACACCGGCATGGCTGTGTAAAAGGCCGGCAGGCTCCGTCTCAGCCCAGCCAGCACATCAGTCCGTCAGGTCACGACCTGAGATGTTTAAACCGGCCGCAGGTTGTAAGCTGAAGGTTTATGTAACGCGGTGAGTAAAAGCGGTGACCCGGCTACGCAGACGACCAAACACGCCGTGTTTGTCGGAGTGGAGAGCTGCCAACCTCTGGCCTCGCTCTAATCCACCTCATCTCACCTTCGTGCTCTGCCCCAGAGAGGCAAGGCGAGTGTGTGTGTGCGCGCGCGCATGATTAAAGTAGCGCTCCTTCCAGCCGCTAAAGCAGCAAATCCAATAACTGGCCTCCTTCGACTGGCACGCTCTTTAATTAGGGCTTAATACAGCCTAATGCGCAGACACTGCCCCTCACTAATCCACACACACACACTCAGCTGGCTGCTGGGAAGTGAGAAGGAGGGCTGGATGCTTGGACGGATTTGCGGATTTACTGAGT